AGAAGGTGCTATTTAAGAGACTGAGCTGAATACAGCTCCTCAGACTGAGGAAGTCTCTCGGATGAGAGACGAAACGTTTCTATATTTTTTTGTTGATTTGCTTTGTTTTGTTTTTTTGAATGTCCAGAGGACCAGATTTAACTTTTTTAGACCATTTGTCAGAGTTTCTCTGCTGGTTTTAACCTGACTCAACCTTCTCCACTTCAGACTTTGGTACCCCTTGTGCCTCCTGAAGTCCATCCTCCACCTCCACCTGCTTTGGAGCCTGAACCAGAGTTGATGCCAAACAGCGAGCAGTGTTACTTCTGCGGTCAAATGGTGTATGCAGTGGAGCGCATCAGTGCTGAAGGCAAGTTCTTTCATCGGAGCTGCTTTACCTGTCATCAGTGCGGCATCACGCTCCGACTCGGAGGCTACACCTTTGACAAGAATACAGGTGAGCACCGAGACAAAATGTTAGTCATCTGTGTGACATCTGAGTCACAAATCAAACTCAGTTTCTTCAAACTTCTATACTTCTGTCTAATCCTTTGTCTTTTTTAGTCGGACTATATTAGATTTTATTTTTTTCCTCATGAGTTGATGGTGTCAGTTTCTGAGCCTGTTTCTGCAAAAACAACACCAATAATAATAATAATAATAATAATAATAATAATAATAATTGTTGGAGGGAAACACTAAATGATGTTTACTCAAATGAACGACACTCACACGCGGCAGGTGATTATTTGTCTCCGGCACATTTTTACTTGCAAGGATAGATATTGTAATAGTTCACATCATTATGCATTTAATGTGTACACCTGAAGCTCGGTCACAATGATCTGCACATGCTGTATTGTCCGCTCGCTTTTTTTATCCCTGTCAGCCCAACAAGGTTTCAGCGGGTGTCCTCGAAGCCAGCTGTAACCTCACATGGCCCTCCTGGCCTTCACAGTTGCAGTCCACAGGCATCTCTTCAGGATAAGAGAGTGTTTGGAGAGACAACTTGGTTGTTTGTTTTAAGGGAAAGAACACTAGTAATAATATATCCATAACTACATAATCTCTGACCAAAACCCTCTGACAATAATGATAACAATAATTATAACAATAATATAATAAGGCTCAGTTGTACCCACTCTTGCAGCCCCAGGTGCAGCACTCTTGTTGAATATTAGTGTGATAGTCTGGGTGTTTTGTTTCCATGATTGTGAGTTAATGTTTGTGATTCCTGAATAATCTTTTAACAGCTGAATGTTCAATCTTTCCACTGAGCTCAACCAGAGGCAAAAGTCGTTGTTGTTGATTACAAGTGTAAAATGGTCGTTAATGGGATTTTATTTATTTACTTTTTTCAAGCTGTTGTCTTGTCACCACTGGAATGTTCGAGTCAGAAGTGACCATGTTTAGAAAATAAGGTGAAACTTGCTAAGGTATTTCCTGGAGGGAAAAAAGTGTTTTCCTTTAAGAATTTGTGTGTCTTTAGTTGGGAAATTCTTTTCAGGACTTTCAGCAATGCGATCAGAGACACTGGCTTTAGCTAAGAAGAGTTCAATGACTCAGGGAACTTTATATTTAATAATAAATGTTTAATGGAAGGCTGTGGTCTTGTAATCTCGAGGCTGCAGGTTCAGTCTCAGGTTGCATCAGAAGGGCGTCCGTTATAAAATAATTGCTTCATCATTTGTGTGGGTTTGCGTTATGTGGCAACACATGCAGAAGGAAGCAGTTAAAAGATTAACAAGAACAACAACATACTGTATTTAATGGGAGGACGTTTGAGCCAGAAATTATTTAAAATCTCCTAGTGGCCATTACTGGTATTGCATTTTATTAACTTTGCTGTAAACAACGGATGGCTGTTCTAAGTTAATGCTTGAGTTTAGAATAATTGAAACATCACTTAACAAGTTTTCAATTGTGAGTTCTCCCAGAATTGGGAAGAGTAGATTTGGGTCCTTGTGGCTCAATGGGACTAACCTGTTTAAATAAAGGCTGAATGAAAAGATTTATTTTTTTAATCCCTTGACACTTGTAATTTTTACAGTCCTGTATTCCTGTTACCTTTCTTCTTCCACCACTGCTAACAGGAAGGTTTTACTGTGAGCTGCACTCTGAAGAACTGTTGCTTCCAATTGAGCTGGAACCATTTTGTGAGGTGGGTCGTTAAACAAAACGTCATCCATGTCAGTGCAGTGACTTAATTTAGAATTTTATCAAAAATACTCTCGTACACAGCACTTTATCCTTCTACTGGTGGATACATTTTTAGTAGAAAAGCATGTTCAGACTTGTTTCTTGAGAATTTAGTTTTTTAAATTTATGTAATTTGTTTAGTTTTATAAAAAGATTTAATGTGTTGTTTTTTTAGGATAGCAAAGAAAATCACACAGATGAAGAGAACGAGCCTTCCAGTGATGACGATACACCATCTCCTTCAGATGATGAGTATTACTTCACTCTGGACTCTGGTCCTTTTTCATCTCATCATGTAGCTGAAACTGAAGGGTCACAAGAACCACAAAAATCTCAGACTTCATCAGACGCTGCATCTAAAACTGATGCAACTGTGCCTGCTAAGGAGGAGACTTGTCCGGTCCCAAAGCCACGCTTTTCCCGTCAGAGAACTCCCAGCCTTGAGCCTTCTCCCCCAGTTGCAAAACCTCGAACAGTCCTGGTAAAACTGGAGAGCTCTTCATCTCCAGTTTCTGCAGCGAAGGTCTCTAAACCAGACTCAGACTCCCGTCCGAAACAGTCCCTCCGAAAGCTTCAGTTGAGTGTTGAGGAGAAAAATGAGCTGGGAAATCTTCAAAGTTTCAGCGCAGACTCAGACTCTGAGACACCCGGTGGATCTTCCTCTTGCTCCTCCTCTTCTGCAAATGCAGGAGGACCTCCTAAACAAGATGGTCAGGATGGGCAAGAAGAGGAGGGCTACTGGAGTGGGAGCGCTGCTAGTCTTAACCGAGATCAAAGGAATCGACACTGCTTCAGGAAAAAAGAAATGCCAAGCGGGCAGACCAAAATACGATCAAAGTTTTCACCCTGGAACCTCTCGTCTCCGAGGATCAACCGAGACGCCCGGCTTAGCGTACACATCGGTCATCCAGGGAGAGTGGGTACGTTGACACCTGAAGACAAGCACAACTCTGGGAAATTTACAGATAGCTGTTGTATTTAGGGGTTTTGGTGGGTCTTAGCTCCTTTAACACTTATCATTTTAAAACAGAAACAACATTCAGACATGTCCACGGTGCCTCAGAGGATGGTGTTGATGAAGATGATGATGACAATGACGATGATGACATGATGTTGGAGCCTGAGGATATAGACTTATTGGATAAGAAGGTAAGATTGAGGGCATGCTTTTATTTTACTTTATGGTAGATTAGGGGTAGAATGGTTCATAAATCTTAACAAAATATGTTTTCTTGACGCTAAAACAGAAGTTACTGCCTCTTTAGGGTCGTTTGTAACCAAAAAGTAGAGTTGCATCGGACCCCAAAAATCCTATCCAGCCCCAGCCCGTAGCCATCATTTCCACCATAAAATTAACAAGGAAAAATGTCCAAAACTTGATTCGTTTTGACAAATTGCAACAGCAAACGTGTTTTCGTTCTATAGAACTTGCAGGGATTTAGTTGCTTGAGGTTCTGCTGTGTGTCATTTATAAACAACAATCTTCCAGTATTTTTGTAAATTTATTTTGTTTTAACAACAAAGTCCATGCTCAGTAATCCAGGTATAAAATCCAACATTTTTCAGTCCGGTCATCTGCACAGTTTCTTTTTTTGCGCTGAAACGTTTCGCCTTCGATCCAGGAGGCTTCATCAGTCAAGGAAACACACAACAAAACTGATTCTTCCCCCAACAGCTTACTCCAAAGTGGAACAAACCAGTTCTGCTTGTGATAAGATGGTCTCTTTGGTACGCCCCTCCTCCATTGCTGGCCCTCTTCCTTGTTGACAGTCTTGTCAAACTGGTTGAAAACATGGAACAACTGGTTCCACTTTGGAGTAAGCTGTTGGAGGAAGAATCAGTTTTGTTGTGTGTTTCCTTGACTGATGAAGCCTTCTGGATCGAAGGCGAAACGTTTCAGCACAAAAAAAGAAACTGTCCAGATGACCTGACTGAAAAATGTTAGTTATTTTGTTTTACTTAAGATTAAAGAAACAGCATTTCTTTTGTGTGCTAAAAATGATTCACATTAAAATTTACTCTTAGTTTTGTAAATAGTAAAGAAAATAAAGTGTAAAATTGGTATTTATGTGTTATTTGACTTACTGATGAAGAGGACAATTTGGTCTTCTATCCCTTGTTTTGTTGACAAAGACTTTTTTCCTAAAGTTCAGCTGCTTCAAGAAAATGGACGTATCTTTAATTTTACAGCAGGAAGTTGTATTCAACTCTCAAAGCTGTGAGGTCTCTGAAAAACCCCACCTTGTTCCTGCAGATGTTCAGTACTTTCATGCATGTTTGTTGAAGTCAAGCTCTCTCCCGGTTTGTGTTGTCAGGTCGTCACAGTTTCTTGCACTCCCAGTCAGTCGTACAGTATACTGAAAACAGTTACTCTTTGAAATCATACATTTTTCTGATCTAAACTTGCGTTTATAGTCAAATTTTGTGCACGCTTAGAAAGAGGTTTTTGCCTCAGCTTTCTTCGACCTCCCCCCCCCCCCCCCTTCCCCACATGACTGTTAGAAGTTGCAGATGGTCTCTTGTTCATGGTACACCTCATCATAAAGTGTAGAAATCCACCTAGATTGTTAGAAAACACGTACATTTTATGAAATTCGATGTTCTACATGAAATCCACTTTTGACGTCCATTAATGCACCCCATTTTCTCACTGCACAAGTCCCAGAGTTTTCATTACTAGTGGAAAGCTTTTTGACACCAGCCCTGAAATGAAAGATGTGAACCAAACAGTTTCTTCCCTTCCATCCTTACACTAGATGACTGACTCAACTCTAAGGAATCCTTCACAATAATGTCTCTTTCCCTTTAGTTTCAAACGGTGCCATCGGACCCAGTTGAGACTGCAAAACTCGAGTTGAAGAAGATGAGGACATTGGAGCGGCGGGCCAAGATGAATGAAATACAGCGATTCCGCCAAGCTCAGGTGAGTACAAGTCATAGTTCATCTACAGGCCTTTTGTCAACTCGTATTGACCTACATAAATTTATCAAAGTGTGTTGAATTATTTTCAAAGTTAGCGTAACTCTGTCAAACCTGAATGAAGTTCTGTGAACCAAACGGTCAATAGAGTAGCTCAATGTACTGTTTTAGTAATTTTACTGAAATGTGTGTAGAGCTACCAGAGTCCTGCAAAGGATTTTGTTTTCTGCACATATATTAAAATGGTAATCGCGAATGATTTGGCAACAGCTTCAGCTATTGTATTAACAAAAAGAATTGGACTCCTACAAAATGTTGTTTTGCAGCCACTCCGTTCAAAACATAAAATAATAGTGATTATAATTTCTCCACACAAAAGGCAAACGAAGTTGGTTTTGGTTTGATTGTTTTTAGACATCTAAAGCCCTCTTTGCACGGGATTAGTTTTACCTAGGGACCACATGCTATTTGTAATTATTACAGAGATTGTCTGTTTTGTTAATCCCATGCGAATTGGCCATGTCAGTAATTTGTAAAGTAAAAATTCCACCGCAAATTACCTACTATGTTTTGCTGAACTCAGAGGTCCTGTGATAATACTAATTCAATGTGAATAGGCTTCTTTGTGATTTGGACAGAAATGGGCAGGATCCGATATGTAATTAGGCATTTTTTGTTTCCTGGTGCATTTTTATTTGCTTTTGGCAATGGAGGCTGCATTGGAGTGCATAAATAACCTTTTGTATCCCGGACCAGCAAAAGCGGATGAAACAACAACAACAACAACAAAAAAACGGATGTTGCACAAAAAGCAGCATGTTACCATCATATAAAGATGTCCATAAATTTCAGCTGAATCTCAGGCTTTGGTTATCCCATTGGGGATTAATTTATTTATTACATGTGGTCCTTAGTTTTTAATCCCGTGCGAATAGGTCAGACCTCTTCATCAGCGTCACTGCTGTAAAGGCCATTGAGGGTGCTAGGTGCTAACAGTTATCCAAGTTTAGCTTATACGCTAATTCAATATTGTATAATACATATGCTAGCGCTAAGCTAGCGACGCGCAATACAGACACACTAGCTTAAAAGCTATAAAGGTAGCATACTGTGCCACCCCATCCCCCTCGCTCAAAAACTGTCTATACAAACTGTGCAAAACACAGATGTGTCTCTGTCTCCACAGTCCGCCACCGCCCTCGATCTGAGTGCCCTGCCAAGGCATTACAGACATATCAGTCTGGAGAGAGCGTCGACCTCTGGTATAATAGTACAGTTCATTAGACAAGTCATTAACTAATATGCCTAATGAGATGTAGTTCTGAATTGTTTTTGCAAGCCGGCAAGTTTTAAAATAATTTATACAATAGTGAGCGGAACATGGATTAAAGTTCTCCTTCACCGCGACGGATTTTTATCATCTGTAAAAATAAGGAAAGAGAAAAGAAGCGCGTTTTGTTGTAGTCTTGTTAAAGCCATCCAATCTAATGATGATACAGGGATTAAACTGACGCTGTCTTCAACCAGTCAAGACAGAGCCACAGTTTGAGCCAGTCAGAGCAGGTCATGCTGTCTGGTTCACAGCCTGGGTGTGAGCAGCAGACACAAACTGCAGGTGAAAGGTCACCTGCAGCAAGCCGAGGAGGACACCCCGCTACCCTAACAGAACCACCCGCCCCATCACGAAGGCGATGACGTAATAAATGATTAAACATATGTTCACTGCAGCAGGGGGAGATAGCAGAACTGAAACACCATCACACCCTCCTGCTGCACCACGCCCCGACCTCTCTGGGACTGTTGCATCTAAAAATTAACTTTGTATTAAATGCTAATGTGTTCGGAGTGTAGTCATTGTTGTACAGACATGTGCAACCTGCGCACCTAACCGAACTCTGAGTCCGAGAGAGAGAGACGTGCACGACCGTGGGAGTACGCATATTGAGTTTCTCTCACAGTGAGAGAGGCTGTTTCTGCTGCCTTCATTTTTCTAAATACATATTAACGCTAAAAGAAGAATATTTATCTGCTGCAGATTCCAGCAGAGATGTGCCTCCCTTTAACTTTAATTCTTTACCTTAAACTCATGCAGTTCTCTCTGAGGATCAGTTCAGGTGTTTTATCATAAATGATCAAATCCATCCATCCATTATCTTTTACTTGCTTTTTCTTTTTCGGTTCACGGGGGTCACTGGTGCCCATATCCATCTATCACTGTGCGAGATGCCTGGACAGGTCTCCAGTCAATCACAGGGACAATTTAGAGTTACCAATCAGTCTAAGGGTGCATTCACACCAGCCCTGTTTAGTCCGCTTTAATCGAACTCTAGCTCGTTTTCCTTGAAAGTCCGGTTCGTTTAGGGAGGTGTGAACGCGCCATCGAACTCTGTCACGGAACAAAAAGGCGAACTCTGGCCCGGGCTAAAACCTAGGTCTCGGTCCGGTAGAAGAAAACTCCAGCGTGGTTCGAGTGCAGTGTGAATGTAAACAGACCGAGCCCCGCTCCGCAGGGTAAACAAACACGCATTTCTCTGACCTTATATGGAGCCGTCAGCTGACTTGTGTGGAAAACAATATTCTCCATGGTCTTCTGCCTCATCTTCTGCTCATGCTGAGTCCATTTTTGAAGAATGACAAAATAGAACTCCTAAAACTGCTAAAACTTGATGCCACGCCGTTTTTGTTTTTATTTCCAGAAGAAGTGTCTTCAGAGGTTTTTGTGTTGTTTCTTTCAGTAGTTCTTGGTGCAGCGCCCCCCACAGGCGAGTGGGGGAACAGGTTGGTTCAACAGGTTGACTCGACTGCACAGTGCAGTGTGAATGCAAACGCACCAGCTCAAATGTAACAAAAGGTCATGAATATTGGTCCTGAACCGAGTCTACCGGACTATCTGGTGTGAAAACAACCTAACATGTTTTTGATCTGTGGGAGGAAACCAGAGTACCCAGGGAAAACCCACACATGCACAATGATCAAATATGAAAAATAAATAGTATTAAATGACTACATGGGTTGGGTAACCTTGGGAGGTGTGGTATTGCATGAGGAAATCTGAAGTTGCAGAAAAGTATGTTAGACTGATACAGGACATGTATGAAGACAGCAGGACAGTGGTGAGATGTGCTGTAGGAGTGACAGATAGCTTCAAGGTGGAGGTGGGAGTGCATCAAGAATCGGCTCTGAGCCCCTTCCTGTTTTCTCTGGTGATGGACCGACTAAAAAATGAGGTCAGGCAAGAATCCCCATGGACGATGATGTTTGCAGATGTCATTGTGGTCTTTGGTGAGAACAGGGAACAGATGGAAGAGAACTTGGAGACGTGGAGGTATGCACTTGAAAGAAGAGGAATGAAAGTCAGCCGTAGTAAGACAGAGTCCATGTGTGTGAATGAGAGGGAGGAGGTGGAACAGTCAGGCTACAAGGAGCAGAGGTCACAAAGGTGCAGGACTTCAAGTACTTGTGGTCCACTATCCAGGAAAATGGGGAGTGTGGTAAAGAAGTGAAAAAGAGAGTCCAGGCAGGATGGAGAAATGTTTCAGTAGATTTGTGACAAAAGGGTGTCAGCAAAGGTCAAAGGAAAAGTTTACAAGACAGTGATGAGACCAGCTATGTTGTATGGTCTGGAGACAGAGACATGGACAAAAAGACAGGAGAAAGAACTGGAAGTGGCAGAAATGAAGATGTTCAGGTTCTCCATAGGAGAGACAAGGCTGGATAAGATTAGGAATGAGATCATCAGAGGTACAGCACAGGTTGAACAATTGAGAGATAAAGTTAGGGAGGCCAGACTGAGATGGTTTGGACATGTCGAGGAGGGACAGTGGGTATGTTGGTAGAAGGATGTTAGAAATGCAGCTGCCAGGAAAAAGACAAAGAGGAGATATATGGATGCAGTTAGAGAGGACATGAAGGTAGTTGGAGTGAGGACAGTGTGAGGTGGAGGAGGATGACTCACTGCGGCGACTCCCTAAAGAGGGAAAAGGCGAAAGAAGAAGAAGAAGATGGGTTGGGTAATCTCCAGCTGTAGAAGAAATGTCAAAAGATTTTTTTTCTGTTTTAATCCATAGCAGAATTGTATCCATTCATTTTATATATTCTATTTATTATTTATTCATTTTTATTATATTTTATTATTTTTTTTCTCTGATACTTTTGGTCTGCTGCCAACTAGGGACAACCTCATAGCACCTACTAAGATGGTGGCACTAATTCTCACCTCGCTGGCATAGACTGTGATATTTTCATGTATTCCTTTCTCAGTGATGAGTGTTTCTGAGCTTTAAAGATGTAAAGATTCTGTTTTTATCTAAACTTGTTCCTTGTTGTTCAGTCGATCCAACGAAGGCTGGAGGAGATTGAAGAGTCGTATAAAGACCTGGAAGAGAAAGGTGTGGTGCTGGAGAGATGTCTGCGCGGAGAATCTGGTAAAAATTAAACAGAATATTTTGTATAGCAGTTAGTTTCCTTCCAAAGGCTGGTGGAGTACTTCATTTCTCTGGTTTTCATGTAAAAGGAGAAGCCTGGAAAGACAACCTTCTTTGTAAAACTTGTCAACTTGTGAGGTGCAAAAAATAAACATCTCATCGCATTAGAATTGATTTGATGGTGGTATAAAAGTTGTTTTTTACATGTAAGAGATGACATTAAGTGCATCACAAATCTCTTCTCCACTTTTCTTTCAGCACTTTTTGAAAGTTGTCAGTAATGTGAATATAAAGCAACAGATTTTTTTCTTGTCTAAATTGAATAACTTTATCAAACACTCTGATTGTTCTTATTCAGATAGCAGCGGTTCCCCTGAAACGATTGAACAGTGGATCCAGCTGGTCCATGAGAAGAATGCGTTGGTTTCTGAGGAATCAGACCTAATGGTGGCGTAAGTCAGAATCTCCAACAAACACACTTTAAAGACGTGTAAAGTCATCAGAAACACTCGGGACCAGATTCACTAAGACTGTGCAGTGCCAGTTTTCTGGCTCCATTTTTGCTCCTGCTGTTTGAGCCTGTTTATGTTCACAAAGTACACAGAGCGTTCTCTGCCGGAGCAAACACGCCACTAAAGTTCAGTCCATTTACATTCTTTCTGTGTCAGGTCTTAGTTGGCCTCCACAATTTAAATATGACCTTCTGCCACAAACACAGCAGGAACTGAAGTGTGAACAAGTGAGAGATGCTTTCTGTCACTGAGCTCCACATCTGAACAGATGAAGTACAGAAACGCTCTTTAAAACTGCATGAACATTTCATTCAACCTTTATTTCTACTTGTTGGTCTCACTGAGTCACAAGGACTCATTTTCAACAGAGACCTGTTTTAACATCTCACTGTATCAGAGAAAAATGAAGTTTAGGATGAAATTTACTAATCAGTAAGTGACAATTTGAGCTTCAGTTTATTTGAACTTAATAAATGAAAAGTGAGTTGTTTCTTTTCCAGACCATGAGGACGAGCAGGGCCGGCTCGTGGTTGTAAAGGGGATCGAAGCTGAATTTTATTTTGGCCCCCTTTTTGGTTATTTCCATCATCCATTCACCACACCAACATGTTTATAATGTCATCATTTACCACAACCATTTCAACACAGTGAGACAACTATAACTTCTGAAATTAATGTAGAACTTGTTTTTAAAGTTTTCGTTTCATTAAACTCTGTGGCCTTCCTGAACGCAGACGTTCGAATGGTTCATTCAAAGAAACGTTTTATTTTCTTCTTGTTCTCTGAGTAAAATTGAATTCATGGAGTTTTCTGATCCAGTAATATATTTCCTTCTGCTGATAGTTTTCAGCAGTAAAATGAAATATAATAAAAAATCAGTTTAATTATTCTTGAATTAATTCTTATCTCACAATATTATCAAAACAAACACCTTTTTAATAAAAAAAAATAAAGTCACAAAGTTTCCATTTGGTTTAAAAATGTCATAATCTCCATAAAATGTAAAATATTGAACAACAAAGTACGCTGCTTAGTGGGGACACATTAAACTGATTCATTTTATCCTGCACATCAAAACAAAACCAGAAGAATAAAAAGTTGTTTTATGTATAAAAATAAAAGACTGATTGTTATTAATTTTTTATTTTTTATTTTTTACAGCTTCTGTCCGCAGCATCTTTCTGTGTCGTATAAGTCAGACTGTTTGTTCATCAGATTACAGTCTGAGCTGCTCTGGACGGGGTTATTTTACCTCGACAGACTTTAGATTACTGGCAGAAGAACAAACAGTGGAGATGTCTCTGTCTTCATTTATTCTCAGGGGTTATCTTCTGAATCACTCATAGTATTATTTCTCTGACTTTCTGAGTTAGTCCTCCAGTTTTCCTCTGAGCTGCATGTAAATAAAGCCGAGGTGGAGCCGTGGGTATAAATCTGATGTTGTATAGGTAATCATGGAAAATGATCATAGTACTTACTCTTGTTACTCATGTTTATTAGTTTTTGATCAGCAGAGATGAAAACATTTAGCAGTATTCAATTTTAGCTCTATTAACTTAAATATCAGCCCAAGTTGATTTTTCTTTCATATGATTACAAATATGATTAAACCAGGTGTAAACATGGTTTTATGGGTAGCTGAGCGCTCCTGGGTGCCTGAAATATTCTCTAATAATTAGTTTATAAACAATGTATTTTGAAATTACAGTAAAACAGGATTTTATACTTTTTCCAACCATTTGTTTATAGCTGCAGCAATGTGTGACATCACTGAAAGAGAGGATGACTCATACCTTTCCTGACATGCCTGTCCTCTTTTTGTGACGGTGCAGAAGATAACTCCTTCATTTTCTTTTCTCCTAACACACATTTACCACCAGCTCTAGAGACAAAAAATATGTCACCAAACTGCTCTGGTCTTCAGAATCAAACACTCTGGCCTGACAGTTGTTTACTCAGGTTGTCCCTGAATACCATTAATAAATGTTCATATTAAACTGGGCCATGCTGTTCAGTTGGCAGCATGGTTTGAAGCCCCAACTTGGAGTTGCTAGATCTTTGGGAGTACATTCAGAACATGCTAAACCATAATTTGTACCGTTTGTTGATGAATTTTAGGTGAGATGGATGAATTTAGTTTCATTACAATTTTTGATGACTGTTGCTTTTGCAGCAGCAGCTGTAGCAGTAGCAGCTGTTGTAGCAGCAGCAGCAGCTGTAGCAGCAGCAGCTGTTGTAGCAGCAGCAGCTGTAGCAGCAGCTGTTGTTGCAGCAGCAGCAGCTGTTGTAGCAGCAGCAGTAGCAGCTGTTGTAGCAGCAGCTGTTGTAGCAGCAGCTGTTGTAGCAGCAGCAGCAGCAGCTGTTGTAGCAGCAGCTGTTGTAGCAGCAGCTGTTGTAGCAGCAGCAGTAGCTGTTGTAGCAGCAGCTGTAGCAGCAGCAGTAGCTGTTGTAGCGGCAGCTGTTGTAGCAGCAGCTGTAGCAACAGCAGCAGTAGCTGTTGTAGCAGCAGCTGTTGTAGCAGCAGCAGTAGCTGTTGTAGCAGCAGCTGTAGCAGCAGCAGTAGCTGTTGTAACAGCAGCTGTTGTAGCAGCAGCAGTAGCTGTTGTAGCAGTAGCTGTTGTAGCAGTAGCTGTTGTAGCAGTAGCTGTTGTAGCAGCAGCAGCTGTTGTAGCAGTAGCTGTTGTAGCAGTAGCTGTTGTAGCAGCAGCAGCTGTTGTAGCAG